AAAAAAAAAAAAAAAAAAAAAATGTATGAAACATTCTCGAAAATCTAAATTCTTGTGACCGCTAATGAATTAAGAGTTAAGATCTCGATTTATCGAATATCGAGTAAAACATATCAGGTAATTCCTCAACTTGTAATCGACTATGTGGCTATTACGAGAAGCTCTCAATCTTTCAATAAATCATCGTTTCGGCAAACTCATTTGATTGATCCTTAAGTTAATAGACTGTGCGAATATCCGTTTAATAAAATACTGAAGTCACGCGAATGCATAAAACAAGTTCTAACAAAGCACACGCCTGGAACTGAAACGCTGCACAGAAATTCGCAGTCGATTAATAAATAACGCATTTGACAATCGTCATGGGCCGTATGTATGTCGACGAGATTCTAAGATTCTAAGAACGATTCGGCGAATCTCGAATGGAAGAATCGGAATCGACGGTTGAATATAATTGCTGTCATCGCGAGAGATGGAGACCGGAAGGAGATACGTCGGTCGATCGGCTCATTGGTGGTCCAGTATTGTCGGTGGTTCGATATCGTTGCATCGGAGATCCTAATCGTTTATTTACGTCGATGAATGTACTCGGGGCCTACGTATCTACCTGTCGTTTCCACGCATTGTGCATGACTTTGGCTTTGCCACGGGATGCGTCACGATCTTACAAGTCGATTTTATTTCCTGCTTGTCGTCCCATTACATAATAACTCGCTGCCATCGGACGCGTCTTCGATCATAGATTCGATCAGCGATCGATAGACATCTACACCGACAACCGTTCCCTCCTCTTCTTTTTATTCCTCTGCGATCGTTTGGTCTCACCGCCATTGATTCTCTCCGCCAAACGTAACGCAACGTTCATTTCTGTTCGCTCGGTGGTTTTAGCAAGTTGCACTCGACTGGCGTGAACAAAGGGTTATTTCGCGCGTTAAACGTGTCATCTTTATAACTTTGTAATTAATTATAACCCGTGGGAGGTGGGCATAGCTCAGTCTTAATCTGAGAAAAAAAAAAAAAAACATTGTCCTTTAGGAGAGCTCTGTGTGTATAAAAAGGTCGCGGAGTTCTGCCAACGTGCAGAGGACGGCCATCGTGGAGGTTTTAGTCGGTAAAAATCCGACACTTCCCTTAAAAAAGACTCAGATGTCTTATGAAGATTTCCTTCACGTAAAAAAAAAAAAAAACCTTCTGACGTCGTATATACGGAGACAATCTGGGACGTTCAAATAATCTAGTTTACTTAGCATATAAAAGAGGATAACTTTCCGAAGATGAATGCATTATTAATTCGTTGCCTTTGCAGAATAATTTTAGTAAGCCAAGCCTCGGACACAGTGAAATTAGAACCAGGATTTCCATTTCACGAGAAATTTAAACACGCTGAAATGAATAACAGAATACGTTATATAACAGTGGTTAGCAAGATGATACTTGCCACGGATAATCGTATGTAACAATATTGAATTAATTATTAATTGTATTGGTGATTAAGTATTGGTGATCAACGACTGGGGAAATTTCGTTTCGGTGATTCGCGCGCGGTAAACTCGGTGCCAGTTCCTTTCTTTCGCTGCCTCGGCCACGTGGTAGCATTAATCTTAAACGCATGTCAGTAATAATCACGCGTCTTATATACCGCGCGCGAAAACGAGCCGACGTAACGTAACGATCGTCCCTGCCTTCCCAAAAAACGAGAACTTGTCCTGAGTGATGACCGTTGTCATGTATCCGCGCGCAGATCGATCGAAACGGGAAGGATGTATCTGTAGAGGAGAGGCGATTAGTAATTCTGCTGCTAGGAAGAAACTGGCAAAGTTCATAA